CTGCCACTACCTTCTGCTCCCAGCTTCACAAACCTCTCCTGGGCTTAGAGCAGTGCTGGCTCCTTCAGCCACTGAAACCTCTTGAAGGACAAAGACTCACAAGCGAGTCATTCCCCATCCCTCGCCCTGTTCTTTCCAAACCCACAGCAAGTCCTTCAAAACAGCTTCTGAAATGACCTCAACACCAACACTTGCTTTCAGAACTGTGTTTCCTCACATGTAAAACCTTGTTTACGCAGGAAATGAGGCAAGGAAAGACCTGAGACAAGCATGAACAGCAAAGATAGTTACCGACAGAGAAAGCCACCTGAGGATCCGTGGAAGCTGCAGCAGTGGATATTTAAATGCTAAGCAATGTATCATCAGCTCCCCGCTGAACTTCAGATGGTTTCATCTTTACAGAAGCAGCAACAACAGCATGCTCACATCAACTCTGCTCTGGCAGTTTGATCAACAGTGGCAGCCATGGCTTCTTATTTTTTAACTGCAATATAATTAGGCACTTAGGAAAATGACTCCAAGCAGGACAAATGCTATAGAGTAACTGCAGGTAGCAGCACAGAGCTCTGCAAGCCAGGAGTTTAACCACAGCGAAAGGCACAGGCCAGGAGACACGGGATCCAAACAAGAGATCCAACACTGCATCACTTCAATCACCAATGCAAGGGTTTGCTCTGGAACAAAGGAAGCCTTTCCAGTGGGCTCCTCTCTCATGGAAAGCGTGCAGAGCAAACTGACAATACTCTGGTATTTGGGGCAGGTGAGGGTCTCGCTTGGTCCATCTGGATTGGGAAACTGGATACGTGAATTCCCAACTTCAAACTGTCAGCAAGTCTCTGCTGCACAGGGGAGCAGGAAGTACTGGAAGGACAGAGCCCATCTGCAGCAGCACTGTACAGCCCAGGCTCCCCAGAGTACTGGGCCCTGCAGAGGAGGAGATGATTAACTCCCTTTTTCTTTCCCAGTTAAACCCTTGCCTCTTAGATCCTTCCTCTTCACCACAATGTCTTCCCAGAGGAACCACTTCCCACCCTAATGCTAGTTGGGAAGCCTGCTGGTCAGTGATACACTGCTTGGTCAGAGCAATTCAACTTTCAGTCATCATCAGGAATACTAAACAAAACAGAGGGAAACAGGGTATCCAAATAACAAAAGTAGCCAATTCCCAGGCAATGAGGCATTCATGTGCTCTAGGATGTTGAGAGGCAGATTTGAGGCTACCTGGAACTGTGGAAGAAATGCTTTTATAAACAGAACCCCAAAGAAAACTGAAATTGATGGAAGAAGTTCTGAACTGTGAGGTTGGTGAGGCACTGAACAGGTTGCCCACAGAAGTAAATGCTCCATCCCTGGCAGTGTTCAAGGCCAGGTTGGACAGAGCCTTGGCAACATGATCTAGTGTGAGACACCCCTACCCACTGCAGGGGGGTTAGAACTAGATGACCATAAGGTCCTTTCCAACCCAAACCATCCTGGGATTATATGACTCTATGACTGTCGACACCATCCAACCCTTCCATTCTTCTCTGCCATCCCAAAGACTAAGGATCAGCCTTTGGTTGCCATACCCATAATGCATCACCTTGCAGAGTGGTTGGGTGGTTCTGTGTGCTGACAGATTCCATACACTTGGCAGAGCTTAACACAGGCATTAACAAAAGCAAGTCACCTCTGCCATGCTTCTCCAGAGCTTCCAGCTCGCAAGGGGACCATCCTGTCCTGTGCAAAAGCACAGTCAGAAAGAAATAAAACATCAGAGGAAGCACAACTTAGAATTCCTTGTGGTAGGGCTGTTACCTGACCATGAGAAGTGATGTGACGAGTGTGAACATCCATTCAAAGGACATTGCAATCCCACTCATAGCCTGAAAGTTCCTATGGACTCCCACCATGGACAGAAGGAAAAGCCCTGCAGATGCCTTCTGCATTCAAAATAAGTAAAGCAGAGGTGCTGGAAGACTTTCCAAGGTGCACGAATCCTTTCTAACCCTGATGCATTATTTAGTGCCAAGGGAGAAAAAAGCAACACCTAACAAAGTGTTAAAGGACTCTGTGAAGTTTCCCCAACCTCTCGACAGCCCATCAGCTTCCTGGCTGGCAGAAGAGACAACTGAGCTCCTTGCTTTCAGATTACAGGCAGCAGAATTCTTTGGGCAACTGTCTCTCTGTGTCTGCATCCAGCTACCTCCAGCAGCTTGAAGCGTGCTTGAAGTGCAAGAGAGCACTTGATCAAAATCCAGCTCACACTGTAGGCAGCGAGGGAGCAACCGCACAAAGCAGTGTTACATATACAAGAACAATTGAATTTGGTGGAGGGATTTGACAGGTTACAGGTTGATGACACTGCTGCAGTCTCAGCGGAAACACAGTTTGATGCAATTAGCAACAGGGAACTAGAAAAACAGCAGAGCAAAAGGAAATCCATGTATAAAAGATGAGCAACTGCATGACTGGACACAAGCACAAAAATCCTGAGAACGGGAACAAGATGAAACGGGAGAAACACAACTCTGAGCTCCCTTCCACAATTCAAACCTGAAGATCCACATTTTAAATCCCATTTTCTTCCCCAGGAGAAACTGGCCCCATTTGCAGCACAGATGCGAGGGAACACAGTGTGGGGCATCCAGCAGAAGTGGGAAGCACAATACAAGCTTCTGAGCACCGTGCTGAGCAGGCACCAGCCAGGACTGCGCTCAGCTGCAGGCGATTGAAATCACAGCAGAAACCATCAGAAAAGGCAGAGCCACTGGATTAGACACACTGCCAACGTGCGTGTCTGCTAAAGGAGCAACATGCACGTCCCTGGCACAGCCACGGTGGCTGCTTCCCTTGTCCTGCAGGTCAGCTCCCTCCCCAGCATCGCCTTGTGCTGGCAAGAGGGAAACCTTCGAGGTCAGAGGCCGCAGGGATGGACTCGTGGTGACAGCAGCTTCCCCAGCCTCGCTTCAGGGAACACATGCTAAAATCCACAAACCACACACAAGATTTCACTTCAGAGAAACCAAGAGAAGGCCAAAGCCCAGGCTAGGAGGTGGAGACCAAGGAAGACTCCTCTTCCTGACACATCCCTCCCACATGTGCAGACACACCTGAAAGGAGGATCTGTAGCTGCTAGACAAAGAGACAGGCCAGCATTTAACCCCTCTACAAGAGACAGTGAAATTCTTCTATATGAACGCTGACAAGCTCCCCACTTCCACAAGCTTTTCACTGCACATGCCCAACATGGAAATGCTACAAAAATAACATGGAACAGGACACCCGAGCAAGGGAAAAGCACATCTGAACCAACAGTGTAAGCAGCAGTTGAGGGAGGGGATTCTCCCTCTCTGCTGAGCTCTGGGGAGAACCCCCCTGCAGTCCTGATCCAGCTCTGGGGCAACAGCACAAGAGGGATGTGGAGCTGCTGGAGCAAGTCCAGAGGAGGCCATAGAGATGCTGCGAGGGCAGGAGAAGCTCTGCTCTGGAGCCAGGCTGAGAGAGCTGGGCTGGGGCAGCCTGGAGAAGAGAAGGCTCCTGAAGGGGAGACCTTAGAGCAGCTCCAGTGCCTAAAGGGGCTGCAGGAAACCTGGAGAGGGGCTTGGGACAAGGGCCTGTAGGGACAGGCCAAGGGGAATGGCTTGAACCTGCTAGAGGGGAGGCTGAGCTGAGCTCTTAGGCAGAAGCTCTTCCCTGTGAGGGTGCTGAGGCGCTGGCACAGGGTGCCCAGAGAAGCTGTGGCTGCCCCATCCCTGGCAGTGCTCAAGGCCAGGTTGGACACACGGGCTTGAAGCAAGCTGCTCTAGTAGAAGGGGTCCCTGCCTGTGGCAGGGGTTGGAACTGGGTGAGCTTTGAGATCCCTTCCAACCCAAACCAGGCTGGGATTCTATGAAAACCAGCAATGGTGTTTTTAACGTCTGCAGGTATATACATATTCTGCTTCAATAGGGGTGGTGGGGATCTGCCAGTCTGAATACTGAGCAGGGGCACCACACGTCTTCCATACATAATGGTACAAAAATGGAATATATGTATATACTGCAGCTTTGTGAAATTTAGGGCTTTTGCTAGACATTTGTTATACAAAGATTTACATTTGGAAAAGTGGTTCTGCTATATCTGGCAGAAATTTCAAGACAAATGATCCCATATTTATTCATTCCATGATAATACTGAGCACAGGATAAAGCTCTTACATTCAGAGTGCTTTATAAAAATTAATTACTACTTAGTTCACCCTTCAGAGGTGGGAAGGTATTACACCTGCATATACATGAGGACACATAGCACAAGTGGATTAAATACTTTGTTCAAGACCCTAGGGGCAGGCAGGCTTACTGATCATCCTAATTGCCAAAATATGTGTGCACACGGGCAGCTGGGTGTGTTTAAATGGGCTTAGCCTCTCCAGAGCCCTTCCCAGCACATGGGTTTTTGCACTGAAGCTAGCCTGCTCAGTTGGTGTTCCCCCACCATCCATATCCCATACACATCTAATAAAAGACACCATCCCCTGAAAAGCGAAGAGATATTTTTGGTGGGATGTACAGATAGGGATAAAAGCTGGATTTCAAGCGGCCAAGGAACAGAAAATCCATTGTTAGAAAGCTGTGTGGTGTTACATGGATAGTTCTTAATCAGACTGCCACTGAGCAGCATTCCCCAGCCCACACCGGAGCACAGCAGCCCTGGGATACCATGTGCCAGCAAACGTTAGAAAATCTGTCCCTTGACAAGGGTACAAAGGGCTTCTGAGCTAGTGACAGAGACACATCACCCCCTCCAGTGTGAGTGGCAGCCCACTCGACCTGCTCCAGGGAGCTGAAAGCACTGCAGCAACCACTCCTGTGACCAGTGGCTTGGTGATGGTCTCCTGTCTGGGGTCACTGATCCCATACCTCTTTGTCAGAACAGCAGCAATAGAAACCATCAGCATGGGAACAAACAGGCACTGGAGTTTCTGCAGGGCCCTGTCGGTGCTGGCAGGAGGGGGTTTAGAGGGATGCTCAGCGTGTTACCTGGACGGAGAGTCTGCCACTGACGTGTGGGGTAAAACACTTCCAGGTCTTCTGGATCAACATCATCTTCTGCTACCGCCTCTTCCCCACTGTCATCTTTTATGTCGCTCTCTTCTATTTTAGTAAGGGCAAACTCCTTTTGGATAGAAGAGATTCAGCTCATTAGCAATTGCATCTGGGTAATTTAGTGCCGGCTGAGAATACAAAATTTTTTCCCTTGCCAGCAGATTTCTTAGGGCTTTTTTCACATCCAAAATTCTTTCCACATGGTTAAATTTAGATTTCAAGTATATTAAAGGTTAAACATGCATAACCAGCATGACAGTTGTGCTGAACAAAGCAACACGGCTTTAGTCCCGATGCCAGCACAGGCAGCAGGTTTCAAAGAAGGCTTCACAGAACCTCACCTATGTTTCAGCCAGAGCCAGGAGCCCTGGCTATTCTTAGGGTTGTATAACGTTGTAAGACCCCATTTTCCCTTGCCTAAAAATATGTCAAACTTTTAATTTTTCCAGCTGAAATTTTCCACACGAGTGGAACGCCTCAAGTATTGTTGTTTTTTTTTTTCTTAAATGCACTTATTTCAGGCTTGGAGAAGATTTCAGCTAAAATAGTTCAGCTATTTCCAAATTAGGGCATGGGGAAAACACACCGAGTTGCCCATACGATGAGAACTTGAGCATCCTTCCCTCCACCCATTCCCTGTGTCCTCCAAGCCTTAAAACAATGAAGCAGCGATTCAATCACCACCTACACTGTAAGAGCAGCACAAGAAACCTAGAGAGGTGCCTGGGACAAGGGCCTGTAGGGACAGGCCAAGGGGAATGGCTTGAACCTGCCAGAGGGGAGACTGAGCTGAGCTCTTAGGCAGAAGCTCTTCCCTGTGAGGGTGCTGAGGCGCTGGCACAGGGTGCCCAGAGAAGCTGTGGCTGCCCCATCCCTGGCAGTGCTCAAGGCCAGGTTGGACACAGGGGCTTGGAGCAAGCTGCTCCAGTGGAAGGGGTCCCTGCCCGTGGCAGGGGTTGGAAGTGGGTGAGCTTTGAGGTCCCTTCAACCCAAACCAGGCTGGGATTCTATGAATAGCAGATGTGTGACAGATCAGCTACCACGAGTGGTACAACATTAGGCAAAGGCAAAAAACGAGCATGAAAAGCAGGGAATAGAAATCCTTGCTGAGAGGGAAACCTCAATGCTCACTGGAACATCTCCCCAGGGAGCTGGTGGGAGTCATGTAAAACCACAACGGATACAATTATTGAGAGTGCATAGTAATAGTAAGTAATGACCTCGTGCTATCTCACACCAGCTATTAACTGCTTGGGGAGCAGGTCTTTGTTATTCTGGTTTTCACAGATAAGCTGCTCCAGGCTAATTGTCCAGACAGCCCCATTCCTGTTGCAGGGAGTATTATCAGCTTCCAGTATCGCCACGAATGCCATCACTGAATTATTTCACACCACCAGCCTATAGGGAAAGATTATTCCTAATTGTTGGCAATTAGCATAAGAGTTACAGCTCACTTGGAGAAGTGTTTTGGTATTAATCTTTAGAATGATTGCGTTGGGGAAAAAAAGAAGTCAGTGAAGAGGTTAACTGGGAACTTTAGGCCGTGTTCTTCCCAAGAAGTGGAAGAAGTAAAGGCAGAAAAAATGCATGCACATTTGCTGGCAGAATATAGTGCTTTGCATATAAATATCCATTATCCAGCCTAGGAGAGTGTTTCTGAGGAAGAGAAATGTCAGCCTGAGCAAAACGCGTGCGATTAGCAGCGACAGTGGGAACGCATGAAGACGGTTGACAAACCTATGGAATGTTTTTATTTTAGCTGTCAAAAGGGATTGAAATTTAGGAAACGCATGGGAAAACAGAGCTGAACTCCTGCCTTCACTTAGTGCATCAGAGGCTTGAAATTGTTAAAATCCTGACAAATGCTGGAAGCTCAGTAACAATCATATCCATAAAAAGGCAGGTTCTGCAGATGAAAATCAATGTTAACGTTTTCTGAGCCAACACTCAACAGGACTAAAAATAAATGAGTCAGAGCAGTTATTATTTAGCTTATTTACACTGCTATATTATTACCCAAGAGGGACTTCACTATACAAGCTATTGTAAATTTACCAATAGGCCTCCGAGTGTGGTCTCTATTGAAACCTGTAATGGAGATAGCTGATGTTTACCAGCTCTGCTTAAGAGCAGTGTCATGGTCTAAATGTTCAGTAAGGATTAAAGGGTGTGACTTGGTGCATTTAAATGTTCCTGTCCCTGCTTGGCCCACAGTTGCTCTGCAACACCCCATTTTCATTTGTATTTCTGGAAAAAACTGGCAACAACACACAAGCAATGCTTCACTTACAGAGAAATTAGGTAGAAGCCTTTTTGGTTTGTTTTTGTAATTAAAATAGGAGGAAGAAAGATGTTTTCTAAAGAACAACCGCTATCTCTTTAAAGGCAAAAAGCCTCCTTGCTCAACAGCCTGAAATCAATGGCAACAAGCTGAAAACCTCAGCAGGGAGTGTTTGAGACAACCTGCAGCCTGTTTGCAATAAAGGAGAGCTGGGACCACCATGGAGCGCCATGGTAGGAGTTATCACCCACTGAATCACAGAATGGTTGAGGTTGGAAGGGACCTTCAAATTCATCCAGTTCCAACCAGTGCCAGCGCCTCACCACTCTCACAGGGAAGAAATTGCATTAATTCCATCTGCACTTGGTGTCAGGCTGCCTGCCAATCCAGGCTCTATCTCCAGCCTCCTCCCATCCCTTCCTGAAATACAGATACATTACCTCACCACTACACAACCCCAGGTGGGCCCAAGGCACAGGCTGGTGCTGAGGCGCTGGCACAGGGTGCCCAGAGAAGCTGTGGCTGCCCCATCCCTGGCAGTGTTCAAGGCCAGGTTGGACACAGGGGCTTGGAGCAAGCTGCTCCAGTGGAAGGGGTCCCTGCCCGAGGCAGGGGTTGGAGCTGGATAAGCTTTAAGGTCCCTTCTAACCCAAACCAGTCTGAGATACTGTGATTCTAGTATTTATACTGTAACCTGTCCTTCGTATTTGTTCATAGCACAGCCCCCAGACCACTGCATCAGATAACTAACAGCCCAGCAAGTTCCAGCTCTAAGCTAGGAGTGTGTGTCCAGGGACACAGGGTTGTGATCCCTTAAGCCAGTGTTGCTGGGGAACCCCTGTTTTAACGCACAGCATTAATTAAACTAGAAATCCAGAACTCAGTACTGCCCAAGCTTCCTCGAGGAAGCTTTCCAGATCTCCTATCTAGAGGGACTGGCAGCTGGGGCTCAGCAGCAGACTCCAACCCAAGGCAGTTCTGCACTCCTGTACAATGCAAAGGGGCACACAGCATCTGCTCACCTCAACTGCAGCTTCAAAATAACACAAGTAGCAAAATCCACGCACGTGGGACACAAGGACCTGTGAGGATGCTCTTCTAAGCCTGACTCACTTGCAGTGACTCAGAGGCACAGCTAGGAACCCAATTGAGACCACCTCCATCCCTCTTCTTGCCACTACACTGCATTGTTAGCTTTGCTTCCTGCCACAGGGGAACATGTGATAACTCCAAAGAGGAAAAAGGACATTCAGCAAACAAGGCAGCTGCCTGAGGTGCACTGCTCCTGTTGCATACCCTCTGGATTGAGCATATCCTCAGTCGCCTGGGGTGAGACAAGCAGAAAGAAGCCCTTATGAAATGCTGGTATTGAAGATCTGCTGTGAAGGAGAGGGGTTCACCATCTGCTGCAGCACCATGCTCAGTGCCACAGAGGGATCAGGCAAGGCCATCACCCCACCAGAGACCGGTGGCTGGACAGCTCTTAGCAAGCAGGGCTCTCAGCAAGAGCAGGCAACACTTACAGGCACTCTGTCGCTTAGGCTTGACCAGGAGAACACTGCAGAGACCACCAAGAGCAGCAGGTTGAGTCTGGCAGCAGTGGAGAGACCAGCCCCACGAGACATTGCCACCAGTCTGAAAGGCAAAGGAGAAAACAAAATGAACCATGTTTGTAATCCCTATTTTCACAGGTGACATTATACATCACATCATACAACACAGCACAGGTTCAGGGGTGCAACACTGCAGGAAACAAACACCTCAAAGTGTTAGCATATGGGGCTCCCTGGGCAGCCAACAGCAGGAACTGATGATTTTACTGCTAATGTTGTTTATGACAGGTAATGACAAAGTACCTTACACTGACCCCACAGGGTTATCTGTCCCTGGGAAATATGAAGAGACCTTCAAGTGTGGTTTAAAATCACTGTGTTAGTGCCCTGGATAACAACTACAGGGGAAAATAAACATCAGTGCAATCCCACAAAGACTTTTTCTGCCAGTGCCTCATTTTGAGACCAGAAATAGCTGTGTTAATTCAAATTAAACACAGCTACCAGTCCTTAGAGGTCAGAGCTTATCTAAACTCGAGTGAGTCCAGAGGAGGCCATGGAGATGCTGCGAGGGCTGGAGCAGCTCTGCTCTGGAGCCAGGCTGAGAGAGCTGGGCTGGGTCAGCCTGGAGAAGAGAAGGCTCCTGAAGGGGAGACCTTAGAGCAGCTCCAGTGCCTAAAGGGGCTGCAGGAAACCTGGAGAGGGGCTTGGGACAAGGGCCTGTAGGGACAGGCCAAGGGGAATGGCTTGAACCTGCCCGAGGGGAGACTGAGCTGAGCTCTTAGGCAGAAGCTCTTCCCTGTGAGGGTGCTGAGGCGCTGGCACAGGGTGCCCAGAGAAGCTGTGGCTGCCCCATCCCTGGCAGTGTTCAAGGCCAGGTTGGACACAGGGGCTTGGAGCAAGCTGCTCTAGTGGAAGGTGTCCCTGCCCATGGCAGGGGCTGGAACTGGATGGGCTTTAAAGTCCCTTCCAACACAAACCATTCTGTGAGCCTGTGATAAACCCACACGTAGGTTTCTCTTTAGGAAAACAAAATTTCAAGCAGCAGTCAACAAGGTCTACTTGGTCGTTCCTACCTTCCTCTACTGCTGAGAGCATTGGTTCACCCAAACTGTGAGCTCGGGTTCCAGCTCCGGCTGTGCTTGCATGGACCACAAAGCAATCCCATGGCACATAGCCCCTCAACCGACCACACACCACGTACTGAACAAGGGATGAGGAAACAAAGCTCTTGTCTTGCTCCTGGCATGGAGCTCGTATTCCCACAGCTCCGTGTGTAACCACGCTCACACGTGCCCCTGCTGCCTCGCAACACGGGGCTTTCAATCCACCTCCAGCCTGCAGCTCGCTGCTCCTCACGCTGGGCTAGGCAGTGGAGCAGCCTGCCAGCACACAGCCTCGACAAGTATTTCCTTTGATTGGCTCTAAATTTACAAGCTGCTAAATTAAACTAAATGAGGTCTTTTGAAAGAAGATGGGACTGATTAGTTCCGTTCAAACACTCCTTCATTACTCATCCCTCCATCAAGTCTGCTCCTACTCCTAACCAGGTTTTAAAGAATTTCCTCCCATGCAGTCCTAAATACCCTTTTTTTTCTGTCTTTGTTGTCCATCAGGATCATATCACAGATCTTTTCTTGAAGCAATCATCTTCTGTTCCACAGAAAGCTTGCCCACGGGTGCACCGAACACCAGCTCCTGCCACCAAAGGATCTCTGCCCACAAAAGACTGCAAGGACACACAGGGACTGGAGTCCTCTCCCTGCACCCTTTTATTGCTGTCTGTCTCCCCACTCTGTCACTTACTTGTCTTTCTGCTTGGTTTTGCTTTAGCCAAAAGCAATGCAGAACAGGGAGCACAGACAGCAACACATCTGATGCACTTCTGCGTCTTCCAAAACCTCCCAACCCAGGGTCTTCCTGAACAGCAGCCTCTGTCTTTGAGCTCAATCCAGATCAAGGAGATTTTTGATATTCCCAGTAATTGCTTTTGAAGCATCTGACACCCACAGAATCCTTCAGCAATGAGATCTCCTCCTTAATTCACACTGCATGAAAGTGCCACCCTGCATTTCTGACCTGGCGCTCCATTGTCAAAGAATCCCAGACTGGTTTAGATTGGAAGAGACCTTAAAGCTCATCCAGCTCCAACCCCTGCCATGGGCAGGGACCCCTTCCACTGGAGCAGCTTGCTCCAAGCCCCTGTGTCCAACCTGGCCTTGAACACTGCCAGGGATGGGGCAGCCACAGCTTCTCTGGGCACCCTGTGCCAGCGCCTCAGCACCCTCACAGGGAAGAGCTTCTGCCTAAGAGCTCAGCTCAGTCTCCCCTCTGGCAGGTTCAAGCCATTCCCCTTGGCCTGTCCCTACAGGCCCTTGTCCCAAGCCCCTCTCCAGGTTTCCTGCAGCCCCTTTAGGCACTGGAGCTGCTCTAGGGTCTCCCCTTCAGGAGCCTTCTCTTCTCCAGGCTGCCCCAGCCCAGCTCTCTCAGCCTGACTCCAGAGCAGAGCTGCTCCAGCCCTGGCAGCATCTCCATGGCCTCCTCTGGACTATTTCCAGAAGACAGGCAAAGAAACCCTGCAGTTGAAGCCTCCATCTTTCCTGAGGCACTGCCAAGCACAACCAGGCCACAACCAACACTCAAGCTCCCGAGCTGCAAATTCCAGAACAGAATTCAGGGGCTCAAACTCCACCAGCTCCAAGATCTACGTGCCCTTGTGGCCAATGGCACAGTCAGGAGCCCAGTCTCAGACCGACCATGACACACAGCTCCCCCTCAGCTCACCTTAGAGCAAACTGCTACTTTAACACAGAAGAGAGTTTTTTGGGTTTAGTTTCTTTTCAGTTATAAAACAAGTAGCAAAAGTAGGATGATGAAAAATAGATGTATCCCTAAAACTTTACCTGCAAGCCTGGAAATGAAAAGAAAAAAGAAGAAAAAGGAATTCAGCAAAGCAGTGGCTGAAAGAAAACGCACAATCCCATAAAAATAGAGCTCACGTGTACTGAGAAGGCTGGTAGCAAACGACAGTTCAGCTTTTTTAAAGCCTACAACCTCATGCCTGCCTGGAAGATGACATCTGCACAACAATTAGCAGCTTGCTTAGGTCCCAGGTAGGCAGGAGAAGCCAACATGTGAAACACGGGGGTTTGAAGCTCCTGGGGAGAAGCCTGCGCGGGCTGACATCTCGCTACAAGGCAGATGCATGCACAGGGCACAAAAGGATTTGCAGCCCAACTGCCAGTGAGTGCAAGGCATTTTTAGAAGAGACCCTTCAGTCTGGAAAGCAGAAATGGGGGTAACCATGACCCCACCTGCATGGGGAGCATTTGCTCTGATTTAAAGACATGTTTTTGGGATCCAGCAGCACCCACATAGAACTGCAGCACCAGAACTGCTAGGGGAGATCCACAAATTCCCCTTGTGCAGAGTGGGGTTTTTTCCTCAATAATCACAGAATCCCAGCCTGGTTTGTGTTGGAAGGGACCTTAAAGCTCATCCAGTTCCAACCCCTGCCACGGGCAGGGACCCCTTCCACTGGAGCAGCTTGCTCCAAGCCCCTGTGTCCAACCTGGCCTTGAACACTGCCAGGGATGGGGCAGCCACAGCTTCTCTGGGCACCCTGTGCCAGCGCCTCAGCACCCTCACAGGGAAGAGCTTCTGCCTAAGAGCTCAGCTCAGTCTCCCCTCGGGCAGGTTCAAGCCATTCCCCTTGGCCTGTCCCCACAGGCCCTTGTCCAAAGCCCCTCTCCAGGTTTCCTGCAGCCCCTTTAGGCACTGGAGCTGCTCTAAGGTCTCCTCGAAGCCTTGCCTTCTCCAGGCTGAGCTGATTTTACTAGGTGCACATCAGTACATGCTGCACAGCCCTGTGAAGGCAGCTCCCATAGCTATAGGTAACAGTTCAGAAGCAGTCAATATGAGGAACATGTTTCATTAACACCTCTTCGTACTGGGAACATGCCACTCTTCCACAACCTCACTCAAAGCCCACACTGTGTGTGCTGTGCCACTCCAACAGATCCATCTGAAGCCCCATCTGGATTCTGATCTGCTGTCCCAGGAGAGCACAGTCATCCCAGAGAGCCCCCTCCTCTGGCTTTACAGCCAACTGGAAGCAGGAACAGTAAGATAGTCCTCGCTGTCATCTAAGGATCAAGGGAGCAGTACAGGAATTGTCTGCAAATGAGTTGAGGCTGAGTATCTGTGCAGCCACCCTTCATCAGGATGGCCAGCAGTAATGAAGCACCACAGCACCTTGCTGCTGTTTGTACAAGCACAAATCAATCACAGAGCTCCCCTCACTGAGCTTAGGGCAACACTGGAGAACAATCAAAGGCTGAAAGACATCGAGGAACACAACTCAAGCAGCCTTCAGCTGAACCCATGGCACAGAGACCTCCAAACAACCACAGCCTCTCAAGCTGAAGCCAAAGTTTGATGGGCAATAACAGTTAAGGAAACTATTCTAAAGATAGACGTGGAAATTGGGATGTCTGATTAAAGAGGGGCAGTCAGGACAGATCCTGCAATCAGTGGCGAGACAACATCCCCATTCAAACAGGATGTCATCTCAATGACACTGGCACCTATGGCCGAGAGCACCAACCATGATGTGCTGAGTGATGTGCAGCCCATCAGAGAAAGGGGAGCGAATTTAGCTGACCTCAAATTTTCTTCCTCTGAGCAACAGGGTGCCCAGGTCTGGAATGAGCACCCATTGTTGCTGACTTGCTGAAGTGCACACAGACCAGTGTCAGTCAGACACCTGGGGAACACCCCGTGGCCAGCAGTCCCCCCTTCTCCTCATCCCACGACGGCAGCTACACTGACAGGCAAAGAGGAGGTTTGAATCTGCACTTCACGCTGTGTGTAAGAGAAGAATCAGCTGTGGACAAACAGAGGATTACCAGGAGGCACACAGGACACTGCCCTTCTGCAGGTCTGCACAACTCTGCTTTCAAACAGAGGAGCAGGATCAATCTGCAAATACAATCATCTCCCTTCTTCCCAGAGGCACAGAGACACAAAGGCTCCTGGTGATCACAAACAGAGCTAAGAAAACCCTGGAAATACCCATGATTTGGTGGACACAAGCCCAGATGACCACGTGCCTGCTTAGCAGGTCTCAATCCAGAAGACCTGCTTCATCTCTCCCTGCCCTGGCAGTACATGGTCATTGCACTCACAGTGCAATGTGGCTTCTGGTATGAAACATAGGATTTCTTGGATTTCCTCTGGAAACTGGAAACAGAATAAGACAACTTCTCACATCCTCTGTGCCTCACCACGCTCACAGTCATGTCCTTCCCTACCTGTTTCCCTGGGGATGGTTACTGCCCAGAGAAGCTGTGGCTGCCCCATCCCTGGCAGTGTTCAAGGCCAGGTTGGACACAGGGGCTTGGAGCAAGCTGCTCTAGTGGAAGGGGTCCCTGCCCGCGGCAGGAGGTTGGAGCTGGATGAGCTTTAGGGTCCCTTCCAACCCAACCCGCTCTGTGATTCTATGATGTTATGCAGAGCAGGAGAAGAGTCCTGAACAGCAAAACTAAACATAACAAAGAGCTTCTACCTCCAGGGACCTGTGCAATGCCCCCAGTGGAGCCCCAGTTTGTTTGTCCTCAGTTCTCCCAGGACAAACCAGCAGGAACACACTTCTCTGAGTACAGTCCCACTGCTCTGGACTGGCGCAGGCTCTGTGCAGCTTCCTTTGAGATCTGATGGTGTATGTGCTCCTGCTGCATTTGGGATGCTCTCAGCAGCACAGGGTCCTGCTGTGGGGAAAGCACACTGTGCCTCCAGTGGGCATCCCCAGCTCCAGGGAGGAACCCACTGCACCGAGAGACCCCAACCCCTGCCCATGGGTGCCATACAGGCACAAAGCCCCACACTCATGGGTGAATGACAGGCCAGGGAGCACGGGTTGTTTGCAAACACCTCACACGACACCACGGAGAGGGCGCAGCTGTAATACAGAGCAGGCTGGGGATACCGCTTAGGAAATGGCTTTTAAAAAACATTTATTCTTCTTGCTTGCTCCTCATCATTACTCCTACTAGGACTCTGCTCTGGTGTGTTAAAAACACTCCTACACAAGGGAAGAGTTGTGGGAACACCTTCCCATACTTGGCTGCCTACAGAGAACCCACACAGCAAGGATTGTAGAATCACAGACTAGTTTGGGTTGGAAGGGACCGTAAAGCTCATCCCATCACAGCACCTCTGAGCTTGTTGTCCACAAAAACAGCCTCACACAACTTAACATAAACCATCATTTAGTCTATTAATTTACTTACTTAATCCCTTCTGGAACAGCATCCACAGAAAACGCTGCTCTCCAGAGGTCAAGAGCTCAGCTCTGTACTTGGATGGTTTCAAGTCAAAGCCAGGCTGCCTTCACCCTCTCCCCCACTCAGCAGCAGTGATGGCAGAAGGGACCACTCTCCACCAGGACACAGCAAGATCCCTGATTCCAGGGGCTGCAGCCAGCATGTCCACACTGGAGAGCCCTGGATCCACACGGGGACCTTCTGCTCAGCTCAGGATGAAGCACACAAAAGCACAGCACAGCTCAGAGATCACAGTACTCTATCATCAAACCACATGAAGCTGTATTTCTGGCAGCTGCTCTGCAGCCACCTGCACACACAGGACACCCTCACTGTAGAGCCTGGGGGGTAGCGAGCACCTCTGGGTCCATACCAGAGCATGGGAGCTGATATGCACCAATTTAGGACTTGCCCAGTCCTAAAGGATGAAATAAGGGATGTACAGGGATCTTCAGAACAAGCATCTTCCTGAATGCAGCCTGACCTCAGCCATGTGAGCTGGCTTTCCCCTTCCTCATGCTTCCCATCACCGCAAACCCCAGCTGGGAACACCTCTCTCCTCCTGCCGCTACCTGTCCCCTGCTCCTTGCTGCAGTTTCCCATGCACAGCACATACAACCAAGGGACAGTTTTCCCCACACATGGATCCAGCATTTCCATTAGCCTCTATTTACAAGGTGATGCTTTGGCTGTGACTAACCTGGGAGTCTGCCAGCACCCAGCATGGGGTTATTTTACCCCCCCTCTGCTTTCCCAAGCGTGGAGAGCCTAGCAGGAAACAAAACATGCACTGCACCAGCCAGGTCACAGAGCACTTTCACATCCCACTGCTGCTGGGTTCAGAGAGAGCCAAGGATTTAATTGGCACATTCCCAGCCTCTCTGGAAACAGCTTTTTATATTGTCCAAGTTCCTGCTATTCACTCATGGCTCTCACATCGAGTAACAACCTCCTTCCCCTGTCAGGTGCCAGCTTCCCTACAAAGGGACTCAATTAAGAGGTTAAAAAACCCAAAGCAAAATGCAGGCTCAGTCTAGCAACACTGATGTATCAGCCCCACAAACCCCACAGCAGCACCCACACCACAGTACAAGCACCCATCCCCTAGGTCTGTATCTCAGCCTGTCCCTGCAGCTCAGCCCAGAGGCTTCCCATTTGGATTGCCATCCCTCTTGTGCCGAGGACACCTGCTGCTGCAGCCCCAACAAGCCAAGGGCTGCTCCAGCAGCCCCATCCATCTGCCAGGAACAGTGAATTGGGAAGCTGATGAAAATGCATTTCCTTACCTCTCCGCAGTGCACCCGGCAGTGGTGACAGCTCTGACTCGAGGTGACAACCCACAGGTACAGGTCACAGCAGGGAGCCCCATGGTATGTGGGCAGCAAATGTGTGGCTCCAGCTCTGCAGCCAGGATTAACATGCCATGGCACAGGATTAGTTGCACAGGACACCCAGTGGAATGCTCCACTCAGGACCTCCCCTGCAAGTAAGCTGGGATCACCCCATGCTTCCAGTTATGTGGCAAGTTCCCAGCTGAAAAGGCAGAGGGGCACTGGGACCTGCCACACGGGACAAACCCACTCAGGAGCTGCCACAACAGCCACTGGCACCACAACCTGAATAATGTCCCACCAAAGAAATCTTAACCCCCCCCCCTCTGGAGGGGAATAAGGAGCCGTCTAGGGATGAACATGACCCACTGCCAAGCAGGCTCCCTCAGGACCACTCCTGGTTTGCTCTGAATCTCAAGTGTGAATCCAGACAAGACATT